TGCGTTACCTAGGGAGGTGGTAGAATCTCCTTCCTTAGAGGTTTTTAAGGTCAGGCTTGACAAAGCCCTGGCTGGGATGATTTAACTGGGAATTGGTCCTGCTTCGAGCAGGGGGGTTGGACTAGATGACCTTCTGGGGTCCCTTCCAACCCTTATATTCTATGATTCTATGTTTTTTGGCTGCCGCTGCACAGTGAGTGGATGTTTTCAGAGAACTATCCACAATGACTCCAAGATCTCTTTCTTGATGGGTAACAGCTAATTTAGACCCCATCATTTTGTATAAAGAAAAGGAGGACTTGTGGCACCTTAGAGACGAACCAATTTATTTGAGCATAAGCTTTTGTGAGCTACAGCTCACTTCTTCGGATACATCCGATGAAGTGAGCTGTAGCTCTTGTAGCTCTTGAAAGCTTATGCTCAAATAAATTGGTTAGTCTCTAAGGTGCCATAAGTCCTCCTTTTCTTTTTGCGAATACAGACTAACACGGCTGCTACTCTGAAACCTATCATTTTGTATGTATAGTTGGGATGATGTTTTCCAATGTGCATTACTTTACATTTATCAGCATTGAATTTCATCTGCCATTTGGTTGCCCAGTCACCCAGTTTTGTGAAATCCCCTTGTAGCTCTTCCCAGTCTGCGTGGGACTTAACTATCTTGAGTAGTTTTGTATCATCTGTAAATTTTGCCACCTCACTGTTTACCCCTTTTTCCAGATAATTTATGAATATGTTGAATAGGACTGGTCCCAGTACAGCCCCTGGGGGACACCACTATTTACCTCTCTCCATTCTGAAAACTGACCATTTATTCCTACTCTTTGTTTCCTATCTTTTAACCAGTAACTGATCCCTGAGAGGACCTTCCCTCTTATCCCATGACAGCTTGCTTTGCTTAAGAGCCTTTGGTGAGGGACCTTGTCAAAGGCTTTCTGAAAATCTAAGTACACTATATCCACTGGATCCCCCTTGTCCACATGCTTGTTGACCCCATCAAAGAATTCTAGTAGATTGGGGAGGCAGGATTTCCCTTTACAAATACCATGTTGACTCTTCCCCAACAAATCATGTTTATCTATGCATCTGACAATTCTGTTCTTAACTATCATTTCAACCAGTTTGCCCGGTACTGAAGTCAGGCTCACCGGCCTGTAATTGCTGGGGTCACCTCTGGAGCCTTTTTAAAAATTGGTGTCACATTAGCTCTCCTCCAACCATTTGGTACAGAAGCTGTTTTAAATGATGAGTTACAGACTACAGTGTTGCCACTAAAGGTGTTGCCAATGTGTAAAAGATTCCTCAGGGGTCTGTAAGATCTGCCCATGGTCTGGCTATGGGGAGCAGGTACAGGTCTGATCCCTTGTTCGTTTGTCATCACTGCTCATTCCTAACCTAGTGATAGATTGCTCCATTGTGCGATGTCACTGTTCTCCCATGTCAGACACAGTTTTCCCTTGTTGCTTGTTGATGAGAGGCGCTTTCTGATCCCTGATAATTTGAGGTACTCTCCTGCGCATCCCCTAATGTCTGGGACGTTGGAGTAGAGAGGGTCTCAAGCTCTTCTCTGTCCTACTGGCCGCATGGTCACTGCTCTCTGGGTTCAGACTATGTTTTGTGCCTCCCACGTCTGTAATCACTGATTCTGTATCTGATGGGAGTCTGCCTTTGGTTTTGCTGTCACTGTGGTGAGCAGAGCTGTCCCCAGCAATTCTGGGGCCCTATGCAGCCCCCCCCCACAGGGTGTGTGTGTGGAGGCCCCAGGCCTCTGCGGGGGGGGGTGTGCGGCGGGGGTACTTGCTCCAGGCCTCTGTGGAGGGGGTGGGGCTGGCTTGGGGAGGGGGGAAACCACCCTGCAGCACTCACCAGTGGTGTGGCTGGGGCCGGGTCGCTGCACTTCCCGCTGCTGGTGAGTACAGGTCCAGCCCTGCTGCAGAGCTCAGGGGAGTGGGGGCGGGGCTGGGGCAGAGCCGGAGCTGGGGCAGAGCCGGAGCTGGGGCTGCGGCAGAGCTGGAGCAGGGGCTGGGGCAGCACGCAGTTGCACAGGGCACCAGGAAATTTGTAAGTAATAGACTAAGTCTTATCTAGCCCATCCCTGACAGGTGTTTGTCCAACCTGCTCTTAAACATCTCCAATGATGGAGATTCCACAACCTCCCTGGGCAATTTACTCCCGTGCTTAACCACCCTGAGAGTTAGGAAGTAATGGCAGGTTTAGCTGAGATTCTTCAAGTTACTCAGCTTGTTAGCTGCACCAGCTCAAATCACTGGAAGGCTGGGGGGGGGGAGGTTGAGGGGTTGGAGGCTAGTCCAGTGGTTAAAGCAGGAATCTGGAAGTCCTGGTTTCTATTCCTGGCCCTTGTTACCCTTTCTGGAAAATGCAGAGAATGACTTCGTCGCTGGCAATTCTTTTAGATCCTCTGATGAAAAGCACTAGAGAAATGCAAAGCACCATTCCTATTCGACGCAGATCTCACTGGCAGTTTGCTGTGCATGTCGGATTCCCGGGGTGTTTGGAAATGAAAAATGAGTGTCTGACATCGGAGCTAGACCTGGTTCTGCTCCCTGTGTTCAGCACCCAGGGGTGCTTGGAAAAGAGCTTAGCTGCCACGTGGCTTTGACAGTGCCTTGAGCACCCAAGTGAGCTTTGTACCTGCCCAGCTAGATACTTTCATCTGCAAAAGGTTTTGAAAATTCTGGCCCTACTTCATGAGATACGTAAAGATACAGCAACACTGTGTACGGTTATAGCTGTGTGGGAAAATCTTGTGTCTAGCAAAACTTGGAGTGAAAGACCAGTGTATAAAAGAGAGAGGCTGTTCTGCCTAAATAAGATAGGGACGATATCAAGATAACCAGAGCACAATGGGCCACAAACGAAGTCCCTTAAGCTTCACTTCATTTCATTCAGTCATGGAGGATGCGCTGGTCTCGTCTGTTGAAACAAACAGCTCTGATGCCAGGAGCTACAAATGAACGTCAGAAAGTGAAAACCCACTTCAGTCTTGGGAGCTCTCAGAACAGATCCCTGCGTAGAGAAACTCTGATTCCTGAACCTGCTGTGCCTTGCTGAGAAGAAAGGAGGGCACAGCGCTGGGCTCCGGAGGTGTTACCTCTAGATAAGGAAATCCCTCAGCAGCGGCTCTCTTTAGCGCACGCTGTAAGGATTTGGCAGAGCGCTTGTCCTCTCGTTTCCAGCAGCACCAAGGTTCTTATTTCCACGGGGTCGTGTATGTGGCTGATGCTTCACAGGCAGATGAAAAAGTAACCCCTGTCTTTTCCAAAACGTAGCAGAGGATGGGGGTGCTTCTGGGCATGATACAGGATACACAGCTGGGTAGTTCACCTTCTTTTAGGATGCCTTATGCAGCTTTTAGGTGGTAATATATCGGCTGGAGGAAGTTGAGTCTGGGAAGAGGGCAGTGGACTGGAGAGTCGGTCACTGTTGGAAGGAATCGGTCCAGAGGGGGGACTGGAAGGAGTGAAGTTGGATGGCATGCAAGACCGGGGCGGCGGTGCCAGCAAATGAATGTGAGCTCCCCCACCCCATTACCCCGGTCTTTGGAAGGTCATTTACCTGCCGGGTTTAGATGGGCTCTGAGCTCACCCCGCACTGAGCCCCAAGGAGCAAGAGAGATTCATAAATTCCGAGGCCAGAAGGGACCGTTGTGATCACGCAGTCTGATCTCCTGTGTAGCACAGGCCAGGGACCGGCCCCAGAGCAATCCCTAGAGCAGAGCTCTAAATCCCCTAAAATCCCCAGATCTCGAATCTTTGTATAAAAGGTGCCCGTGATGAAGAACCCACCATGACCCCAACAAGTTGTTCTAATGGTTCATCGTCCCCAACATCAGAATTGCACCCCCCCATGTCCCAAGATGGGCTATAGAGGGCTGTGCGCTCACAGAGGTGTGGGGGGAGTTTAGATGGGGCAGGTGCCCAGGTCTGTGCTTCAGCTCAGCATTTGCTCTTCTCCTTGATGGCTACACTAGGGCTGACTGGACTCCCTGTTGTGGGCGTCATGGCAGAAGGAGTTTTCTTGAGCTGTTTACTGACTTGGTGGACCACATTATGGAGCGCACGCAGTGCACAGGGAACAGGAATTAGTACATTTGCAAACTGCTTTTGTCTTTTCCAGCAAGGCCAATAGACTGTGGTGGTGATTCGGAAACTCAGAGGACATAAACTCAGAGGACATGCCAGTGGCCGCACATGCTGTTGCCAAGGAAAATGGCTCAGATGATGAAGCCAGAGCACAGAACTTGATCACTTTGAGCAGCCTAGCAACTGCCTTTTACCACTATTTCTTCAGCTACGCAAGAGGAAACTTTTTGTTCCTGAAAACCCATGGAATGACAATGAGCTTTACTTCCTGTGACCATGTCCTCCAGCTGGACTAGCTCCAGATGTGATGGGCACCTCCCCATGCTGCTCCAGAGGATAGATACAGAAAGATACTGTGGAGAAAAACTAAACCTCCTCCCACACCAACCAGTGTTTCTGATGCAGCAAATGGTACTTTTTTGTTTAGAGTTCCATATCTTGATATTTTTAACTCAATCTGTTTGTCACTGCAAGAAAATTAAAATAAAATCCTTCTGTGACGGGTTCTCTCCGGGGTGCCCCCTGGAACTGCGTACCACTGAGCCCCCCGACCCACCAGCCTGGGCTCCTTTTACACTGTACTGCTGTGACAAGCTCTCAAGCCCCCTCCAGCACCCATACAGGCAGGGACACACCCAGCTGCAGCTACATAAAGACACTGTGATCAGCCCTGCATGGGAAGGCTTCAGCTAAGGAACTTCCCAGCTCCTCAGGCACACACACCCCTTTGGAGTGTAAACCCAAAATTATACCGAACAGGGAACTGTACAGTGTAAGCTCATGAAATTCTCCCCCTCCCTCAATGTGGAGAGGAATATACAACAGCTTTCTGCCCCGAGTTATGACTCCCCCACACACAGGTTTTTGACAAAGCAAAAACAAATTAACTACAAAAGATAGATTTTAAGTGATTATTAGGGAGAGCAAACAGATCAAAGCAGATGACCTAGCAAATAAAAAAATGCAGTCTAAGCTTAATATACTAAAGAGATTGGCTATGAATAGCAGATCCTCACCCTAAATGATACCGGCAGGCTGCACGTTCTTAAGGGGCAAGCCACGCGGACTCACAGCTTGGAATCCCCAGGTGTTCCAGTCACAGGCTTAAAATCCCTCTGGCCTGGGTCGTTTCCCCCCAGCTCAGTCTTTGTTCCTCAGCTGTTTCCAGGAGTCTCTTTGGGTGGGGAGTCAGTGAAGAACCATGATGATGTCACTCCCCTGCCTTATGTAGCTTTTGCATATGGCGGGAACCCTTTATTTCAAAGCTTGGTGCCCACACCAGCCAGTGGAAAAACACTGGTATCCCAAGATGGAGACCAGCACCAGGTGACCTGATCACATGTCCCTGTAGTCATAGCAGCCATGAGTCAGAGGCCGTTAGTAGCATCCTCAGGAAGGCTACCCCGCCCCCCATGGGCAATAATCTTCCAAGGCCTATTGTTCTCCCAAACGGTTCATTAATTTGAATGGGTCCTTCCCAGCCAGCCATCTAGACTGAGAGCCTTTTGCCTAGTGGGCGTTCCCCAGGTGTAAACACATTTTGTGATACAGATTCATAGTCAATATTCCTAACTTCAGATACAGAAACGATACATGCACACAAATAGGATACTCATATTTGGTAAATCATAATCTTTCCAACGATCTCTGACATGACCTATCCTGCATAAAATACATCATAATTATCCCAGACTCGTATCGTAATATCTCTGTGAAGAATATGGGGTGCGTTGTCACACCTTCATTTCAGGCTGTGTTGAGTAAATGCTTGGGAATATCGACGGCATGTGGCCAGAAGTCAGGGCAGTGCCCTCAAAGGTGTAACAGTGCAGGGTGAGACCTGGAAGGCAGAGCTTGTTGGCTAAAAATCATGGCTGTGGTCATCTGGTCTGACCTCCTGCATAACACAGGCCCACTTCAATCCCCCCCACCTCCAGAACCGGGGCGCAGGCACCCCCCCATTGCAATCCCCCCCACCTCCGGGACTGGGGTGCAGGCCCCTCCCCCATTGCAATCCCCCCACCTCCAGGACTGGGGCGCAGGCCCCTCCCCCATTGCAATCCCCCCCACCTCCGGGACTGGGGTACAGGCCCCTCCCCCATTGCAATCCCCCCACCTCCAGAACTGGGGCGCAGGCACCCCCGCATTGCAATCCCCCCACCTCCGGGACTGGGGTGCAGGCCCCTCCCCCACTGCAATCCCCCCCACCTCCAGGACTGGAGCGCAGGCACCCCCTCACTTCAATCCCCCCCACCTCCAGGACTGGGACGCAGGCTCCTCCCCTATTGCAATCCCCCCACCTCCAGGACTGGGGCGCAGGCACCTCCCCCACTGCAATCCCCCCACCTCCGGGACTGGGGTGCAGGCCCCTCCCCCATTGCAATCCCCCCACCTCCGGGACTGGGGTGCAGGCCCCTCCCCCATTACAATCCCCCCACCTCTGGGACTGGGGCGCAGGCACCTCCCCCATTGCAATCCCCCCACCTCCGGGACTGGGGCACAGGCCCCTCCCCCACTGCAATCCCCCCACCTCCGGGACCGGGGCGCAGGCACCTCCCCCATTGCAATCCCCCCACCTCCGGGACTGGGGCACAGGCCCCTCCCGCACTTCAATCCCCCCCCCACCTCCAGGACTGGGGCGCAGGCACCTCCCCCACCTCAGGACTTGTAGAATCAATTTCTCCTCCTAACAGAAGCAGCCTGGCAAAGTCCTGGATATTCATAGAATCATAGAAGATCAGGGTTGGAAGGGACCTCAGGAGGTCATCTAGTCCAACCCCCTGCTCAAAGCAGGACCAATCCCCAATTAAATCATCCCAGCCAGGGCTTTTTCAAGCCTGACCTTAAAAACTTCTAAGGAAGGAGATTCTACCACCTCCCTAGGTAACGAATTCCAGTGTTTCACCACCCTCCTAGTGAAAAAGTTTTTCCTAATATCCAACCTAAACCTCCGCCACTGCAACTTGAGACCATTACTCCTCCTCCTGTCATCTGCTACCACTGAGAACAGTCTAGATCCATCCTCTTTGGAACCCCCTTTCAGGGAGTTGAAAGCAGCTATCAAATCCCCCCACACTCTTCTCTTCCGCAGACTAAACAATCCCAGCTCCCTCAGACTCTCCTCATAAGTCATGTGTTCCAGCCCCCTAATCATTTTTGTTGCCCTCAGCTGGACTCTTTCCAATTTATCCACATCCTTCTTGTAGTGTGGGGCCCAAAACTGGACACAGGGGGCTGCTTGGGCAGGAAGGGGGCCAGCATTGCTTTGGTCACTGCCGCAGCTGCACGTTGGCCGGGTATTTGCACTGAGCCGTCATCCCTGCTGCTCAGAACTCTTTCCTGAGCAGCTTCGGTTGAATGTAGAACCCAGCAACGTGCACGAAGAGTTTGGATTTTCCTGCCCCGTGTGCATTGCCCATTGCCCGTTGCCCTCATGGTGAGGGCGCCGTGTGGAATCTCACCCAAGAGGCGGAACTGCAGAATTTTAATTTTGTTCCTCAGAAACCGGACAGTTGTATGGGATTCCAGCCTCGGTGCGAGTGAGCAGAGTGCGTGCAGCGTTGCGCGGAGCACGGAGAAAGGTAGCAGCTCTTAGTACGCGCCAGGCAGACAGAGCCATGCCGGGGAAAATCCACTGGCTGGGACAAGTCCAGCCCAAGTCTCAAGATGCTGCTGGCCTGTTTATCCGAAGAGGCTGTTCGCTGTTTTGTGAGGATTCAGCGCTGGGCTGCAGTCACATCTCAGGGCTTCGTAAAAGAAGCCAGTTTAATGGGGTGGAGTCCTGGTCTCTGGCACATGCAGGGTGCAGGAGGAGAACGGCCTTTAGGTTTGGTCCCTGCTCCAGACCCTCTCTCCTTGGCCTTGGCTCAGGTCCGCGCTCCCCGGGGCATTGCCCGGCGCCTCTCTCCCTGAAGTCTGTTTCCCCAATATTTGCATTGGATATTTCTATTTTTTCAGCACCTGCCCTCTCCACTCCATCAGGACTGGAGCATAGACACCTCTGCCTCCCTGCAACACTGGGATTAAGGGGCCTTCCACCCCATCAATTTTGCAGCTACTCTCCTCTCTCACTGCCACTGCCCAAAGGGGCTTCCCATTGGCTAATGGAAGTTAGGGATGAAAAGGTCCTACTAGGTCCCAGCCCATCCGCAGAGACAGGGTACAACTGTACTGCCCCCGATTGTACATTTTCTACCACTATTTCCGTTCTAGTTTTAAATGTCTCACCTGATGGGGCTCTTGCCTGGCCCCTTGGGAGCCTGCTCCAAAGCTGAGTTCATATCCCTGGCCGCATTTCCTGCTATTCAGCCTACATTTCCCATCCTAGGATGTGTTTTGCTGTTGGATGCAGTTCAGTGCCAGAAAAGACTCTTGCCCCAAGTCTAGAGGTCTTCTCCCTGTGTGGGAATCCTTCCTAGTACTGGAGACCCTTTCGATCTGCAGGGGGAAAACCCCTCCATCTCTGGTTCAAAGTGTAAACTTCTTTGGCACCAGGAGACTCTTGGCTGCAGGAGGACCGTCCCTTAGACCTGCATTTTCAAAAATGTTCACTTATTTGGTGGGTGCTCAGCACCTCTGAAAACTAGGTCCATGGTATCTCAAGCTGGGCTCCCAAAAACCGAGGTCCATCAATTTGTGAACCCCTTTGAAAATGTGAACCCCTTTATTCACACTGCTGCTGTCTTGGTGCAAGGGGGAGCTGAGGCAGCAACAGAAGCACTAAACTCCCACATCTGACCTGCATTCCCTAGCCTCTGCCCCCACCTCCCCAGATTTCCCATATTCCCCCACACTCCAGTCATCACCCTGCTCCCAGGGGGACAGCACAGTGGGGAGAGCTTGGGAGGTGTGTGTGAGGTTATAGGGTGCCTGGGGGTGGGGGAAATGGCTCTAGGGGGATCCAGAAGGGAGAACAGCCATGGAAGAGTACAGGGAGATTAGCAGGGGAGAGTGGTTGTTTGGCTATGTGGGGATATCATGGGGTGGGTGGCCAGTACGTCTGCAGGGAGGCATTGGTCTGTCACATGGGGGAAGTAGTGCAGTGAGGAGCCCTCCAGGCACCAGTGCCCAGACACTCCGCTTCCCTCGTCATTGCTATCATGGCAGCAGCACTGGAGGAGCCAGCATGGGCACTTCAAGAGCTCCCCATCGTCCTGCTGCTTCAGTCCGGTGGGGAATCAAGGCAGCAGGGCCAGCCAAGCCTGTTGAGTCCTGATACCGCAGCGCAGAGCTGTTGTGCTCTCCCGCATCCCAGGCCTCCCTCACAACCCTGCTTTACCTGACCCCAGACCTCCTGCATAGCTTCAGTCTCCTGCCCCCTCCCACTTCACCGGCCTGCATATCCCAGCTCAAACCCCTGGCTCACTTGGTCTGCTCCCTCCTCCCCCAGTTCCCTGAAACACCATCAGGTGTGTCAAATCTGATTTATGGTTTGTGTCCCAGTCTATTTGTGTTGTCCATCCCAGTCTGCCATTTTGTAAAGGGTGCATCTAAACTTGTGCATTTCTTGCCAAACCTGTGAAGATTTACTTCCCTCATTTTCATTTTCTCCTACCCTCATAGGTGCAGAAAGAATCTGAGCCTCTATGGAATTCCTGCTGGATTATGACCAAGTGAAGGGAGAAGCCCGCTGAACTCAAGAGAAGAGGATATCAAAATATGTTTTAATCCCCAGATTTACATAGTTTCACACTGAATTTATGGAGCGCTTGTTGTTCTTCTAGTTGTGATCTAATTTAAGGGGTTATCATAATTCTAAACCAATTCCAGGTTGGATTATAAAGGATTATTATTTATACTGTGTAAAACACGTTATCACAGTTAGCATAGGGCCATCTAGGACTGGGTGCACTGCACACTCACAGGAAGTCACAGATGGAGTCTGCTCAAAACAGCTTACAGCCTGACTTGAAACAAGACAGAAAAAGTGAGCATAACAAACAAGAGGAGGGAATGATCTGGAGAAAGGGGTAAACAGTGAGGTGGCAAAGTTTGCAGATGATACTAAACTGCTCAAGATAGTGAAGACCAAAGCAGACTGTGGAGAACTTCAAAAAGATCTCACAAAACTAAGGGATTGGGCAACAAAATGGCAAATGAAATTTAAAGTGGATAAATGTAAATTAATGCACACTGGAAAAAATAACCCCAACTACACATACAATATGATGAAGGCTAATTTAGCTACAACTAATCAAGAGAAAGATCTTGGAGTCATCGTGGATAGTTCTCTGAAGACATCTACGCACTGTGCAGCAGCAGTCAAAAAAGCAAATGGGATGTTAGAAATCATTAAAAAAGGGATAGAGAATAAGATGGAGAATATCTTATTGCCCTTATATAAATTTATGGTACGCCCACATCTTGAATACTGAATACAGATGTGGTCCCCTCATCTCAAACAAGATATACTGGCATTAGAAAAGGTTCAGAAAAGGGCAACTAAAATGATGAGGGGTTTGGAACAGGTCCCATATGAAGAGAGATTAAAGAGGCTAGGACTTTTCAGCTTGGAAAAGAGGAGACGAAGGGGGGATATGTTAGAGGTCTATAAAATTATGAGTGGTGCGGAGAAAGCGAATACGGAAAAGCTATTTACTTTCCCATAACAAAAGAACTAAGGGCCACCAAATGAAATTAATGGGCAGCAAGTTTAAAACAAATAAAAGGAAGTTCTTCACACAGCACACAGTTCAATCTGTGGAACTCCTTGCCTGAGGAGATTTTGAAGGGGAAAGGGGTTCAGTAGGGGGCAGCCCCCTCAGTCAGGGCTGACCCCATGCCCCAGCCCAGCACTAGGGAGCAGTGGGGGGATGGGGTTCAGTAGGGGGCACCCCCCTCATTGCGAGCTGACCCAGTGCCCCCGCCCAGCACTAGGGAGCAGTGGGGGGAAGGGGGTTCAGGAGGGGGCACCCCCCTCATTGGGGGCTGACCCAGTGCCCCCGCCCAGCACTAGGGAGCAGTGGGGGGAAGGGGGTTCAGTAGGGGTCACCCCCCTCATTGGGGGCTGACCCAATGCCCCCGCCCAGCACTAGGGAGCAGTGGGGGGATGGGGTTCAGTAGGGGGCACCCCCCTCATTGGGGGCTGACCCAGTGCCCCCGCCCAGCACTAGGGAGCAGTGGGGGGGAAGGGGGTTCAGGAGGGGGCACCCCCCTCATTGGGGGCTGACCCAATGCCCCCGCCCAGCACTAGGGAGCAGTGGGGGGTAAGGGGGTTCAGGAGGGGGCACCCCCCCTCATTGGGGGCTGACCCAATCCCCCGCCCAGCACTAGGGAGCAGTGGGAGGAAGGGGGTTCAGGCGGGGGCACCCCCCTCATTGGGGGCTGACCCAATGCCCCCGCCCAGCACTAGGGAGCAGTGGGGGGAAGGGGGTTCAGTAGGGGGCACCCCCCTCATTGGGGGCTGACCCCATGCCCCCGCCCAGCACTAGGGAGCAGTGGGGGGAAGGGGGTTCAGTAGGGGGCACCCCCCTCATTGGGGGCTGACCCAATGCCCCCGCCCAGCACTAGGGAGCAGTGGGGGGAAGGGGGTTCAGTAGGGGGCACCCCCCTCATTGGGGGCTGACCCCATGCCCCCGCCCAGCACTAGGGAGCAGTGGGGGGAAGGGGGTTCAGTAGGGGGCACCCCCCTCATTGGGGGCTGACCCAATGCCCCCGCCCAGCACTAGGGAGCAGTGGGGGGAAGGGGGTTCAGTAGGGGGCACCCCCCTCATTGGGGGCTGACCCAGTGCCCCCGCCCAGCACTAGGGAGCAGTGGGGGGAAGGGGGTTCAGTAGGGGGCACCCCCCTCATTGGGGGCTGACCCAGTGCCCCCGCCCAGCACTAGGGAGCAGTGGGGGAAGGGGGTTCAGTAGGGGCACCCCCTCATTGCGGGCTGACCCAATGCCCCCGCCCAGCACTAGGGAGCAGTGGGGGGAAGGGGGTTCAGTAGGGGCACCCCTCATTGGGGGCTGACCCCATGCCCCCGCCCAGCACTAGGGAGCAGTGGGGGGATGGGGTTCAGTAGGGGGCACCCCCTCATTGGGGGCTGACCCAATGCCCCCGCCCAGCACTAGGGAGCAGTGGGGGAAAGGGGGGTTCAGGCGGGGGCACCCCCCCTCATTGGGGGCTGACCCCATGCCCCCGCCCAGCACTAGGGAGCAGTGGGGGGAAGGGGGTTCAGTAGGGGGCACCCCCCTCATTGGGGGCTGACCCAATGCCCCCGCCCAGCACTAGGGAGCAGTGGGGGGAAGGGGGTTCAGGAGGGGGCACCCCCCTCATTGGGGGCTGACCCAGTGCCCCCGCCCAGCACTAGGGAGCAGTGGGGGGAAGGGGGTTCAGTAGGGGGCACCCCCCTCATTGGGGGCTGACCCAATGCCCCCGCCCAGCACTAGGGAGCAGTGGGGGAAGGGGGTTCAGTAGGGGGCACCCCCCTCATTGCGGGCTGACCCAATGCCCCCGCCCAGCACTAGGGAGCAGTGGGGGAAGGGGGTTCAGTAGGGGGCACCCCTCATTGGGGGCTGACCCCATGCCCCCGCCCAGCACTAGGGAGCAGTGGGGGGATGGGGTTCAGTAGGGGGCACCCCCCCTCATTGGGGGCTGACCCAATGCCCCCGCCCAGCACTAGGGAGCAGTGGGGGGAAGGGGGTTCAGGAGGGGGCACCCCCCTCATTGGGGGCTGACCCAATGCCCCCGCCCAGCACTAGGGAGCAGTGGGGGGAAGGGGGTTCAGGAGGGGGCACCCCCCTCATTGGGGGCTGACCCCATGCCCCCGCCCAGCACTAGGGAGCAGTGGGGGGAAGGGGGTTCAGGAGGGGGCACCCCCCTCATTGGGGGCTGACCCAATGCCCCCGCCCAGCACTAGGGAGCAGTGGGGGGGGGCGCCCCTGACAGCGGCGGGCGCGGGGCCCGCGGCCCAACGCTCTATGGTCCCATGACGTACCAGGCGGCCGCGGCCCGGCGCCGTCTCTCCCCCGCTCTCTATGGTGCGGGCCGCCGGGATGCGGAAGTGGCCGCGAGCGAGGCCCTAGCGCCCTCTGGCGGCCCGGCCCGGCCCGGCAGCTGCTGCTCCCGTCCCGCTCCGACGGCGCCGCTGCCCGGGAGCGCCGGCCGCCATATTGTCACCCCCAGCGGGCCGGGGTCGGGCAGCCCCCCCCCCGCGACAGGAGCGGGGAGAGACCCCCCCCGCGCCGCCCCCCGCCGCCCGGCCAGGTGAGGAGCCGGCTGCGGCCTCCGCCCGGAGCGCGGGGAACCCACCGGGGGTCCCCCCCGGATCTGCCCCTGGGGTGTGGGGGGGCAGGAGGGGAGGTCCCCCCCGGATCTGCCCCTGGGGTGTGGGGGGGCAGGAGGGGAGGTCCCCCCCGGATCTGCCCCCGGGGAGTGGGGGGCAGGAGGGGAGGTCCCCCCCCCGGATCTGCCCCCGGGGTGTGGGGGGGCAGGAGGGGAGGTCCCCCCCCCGGATCTGCCCCCGGGGTGTGGGGGAGGTCCCCCCGGATCTGCCCCCGGGGTGTGGGGGGGCAGGAGGGGAGGTCCCCCCCCCGGATCTGCCCCTGGGGCTGTGGGGGGCGGGAGGGGAGGTTCCCCCCCCGGATCTGCCCCCGGGGTGAGGGGGGGGAGGTTCCCCCCCGGATCTGCCCCCGGGGTGTGGGGGGCGGGAGGGGAGGTTCCCCCCCCCAGATCTGCCCCTGGGGCTGTGGGGGGCGGGAGGGGAGGTTCCCCCCCCGGATCTGCCCCCGGGGTGTGGGGGGGCAAGGGGGGAGGTTCCCCCCCCAGATCTGCCCCCGGGGCTGTGGGGGGCGGGAGGGGAGGTTCCCCCGGATCTGCCCCTGGGGCTGTGGGGGGAGGGGAGGTTCCCCCCAGATCTGTTGGAGGAGGGGCAGCATTGAGTGTGGTTTCCCCCATTTCTCCAGTGCTGTGGAGGGAGGGTGCAGTGTGAGGGGAGGTTTCCGCTGTCCCCCCAGTGCCATAGGGGTGGTAACCAGAGTGTGGGGAACCCCCGCCCCGATCCTCCCTGGTGCTATGGGGTGCTGATCTAGTGTGGAGAAAGTTTTCCCAGGCTGTATTACCCACTGGTGCTGTGAGGAAGAGGGGCAGCGTGAGGGGAGCTCCCCTCTGTATACCCCCACTTCCCACCCTCAGGGCAAGGGTCTGTGTGGGGGGGTGTCCCCTGCCCCAGTCCTCCTGGTGCTGGTGTGGGAAGGGGGTGGTTTGAACTGGGCGTGTCCCCCTGGTGGTTGTGGGGAAGGCGGTTGATGAGAGTGGAGAGGTGAGATAGTGTTGGGGCAGATTCCCGTCTCCCTGTGTTCCCTGCCACACCCCCACCCCCCGACACCAGAGGGAAGATCTTGTTTGCCCTTCCTTCCTGCTGCTGTTGTGGAAGGTGGTCAGTGTTCGAGAACATCCTCTCCACTCATGCCTCTCTTCTGTTGGTGCTGCTGGGATAGTGGGGGGATCTCCTCTCTGGCCTTGCTGGAAGGGGCTTTCATGATCTCAAAGGACTGGCCTAGTTTTTCGTGGAGGACACATTTCCCAGCTCTACCCGTGACTCCTACCATCATACGGCCTCATTCCCAGCTGTCAGTCCCAGGCAAGCCCGCTTGGTAGCCGGGGTTTTAATCAGGATCCAAAAGCGTCACTCATGTGCTAAGTGAGGCCCCAAGCAGCAGCCCTTGGATGCTATAGCTCCCAGCATGCTGTGCTCCATCTTGATACGAGTGTTCCAGGCCTCGCTGTGTGCTCGGGCTTTCAGGCTCCACGGGCTTCTTTGTTTTACTGCAGGCCTGTTGGACTCTTGGGCCTCTGGCGAGTGGCTATTGCAGCTTGAGAATGTGTGACGTTTGGCTACCCCCTGTCGTTAAAAGTAGACATGGACATTTGTGGATGACACCAAAATGGGAGGGGTTGCAAACACTTTAGAGGACAAGATTAGTATTCAAAATGACCTTGACAAAGTGGAGATGGTCTGAAATCAACAAGATGAAATTCAGCAAAGACAAGTGCAAAGTACTGCACTCAGGAAGGAAAAATCAAATGCACAACTACAAAACGGGGACTGACTGTCTAGGCAGTAGTACTGCTGAAAAGCATCTGGCAGTTCTACTGGATCACAAAACGAATATGAGTCGTCAATGGGATGCAATTGCAAAAAAGGCTAATACTGTTCTGGGGCTTAATGACAGGAGTGTCATAGGTAAGATGTGGGGAGTAATTGTCCTGCTCTACTCGGTACTGAGGAAGGCCTCCACTGAAGTACTGTATCCAGTTCTGGGCACCAGATGTGAATAAAGTGGAGAGTGCAGAGAAGAGCAACAACAATGATCAAAGGTTTAGAAAACCTGACCTGTGAGGAAAGGTTAAAAACTGGGCGTGTTTAGTCTTGAGAGGAGAAGACTCAGCGGGACCTGATGAGTCTTCAAATATGTTAAGGGTTGCTGTAAAGAGGATGGTGATCAGTTGTTTTCCATGGTCACTGAAGGAAAGATAAGAAGTAATGGTTTTAATCTGCAGCAAGGGAGATTTAGATTAGATATTAGGAAAAACTTTCTAACTAGAAGGGCAGCTAAGTTCTGGAATAGGCTTCCAAGGGAAATTGAGGAATCCCAATCATTTAAGAACAGGCTGGACAAACACCTGTCAGGGATGGTCTAGGTTTACTTGGTCCTGCCTCAGTGCAGGACGTGGATGTAATGACCTCTCAAGATCTTTTCCAGCCTGACATTTCTGTGATTCTATGGACAGAATAAACAAAGCTTAATTCCAGTGTAGTGAAAGAATACTGGCTCAGTGGATTTCTGCTCTGGGGCTCAGAGTTTTCCCTCTCTAGTTTATCGTGGATTGTGTTGTATTAGATGGGTCTATTGCTGGATTATTTCTCTAGTCCTGTAAGTGTGCAAGGCACTTATGGGTGTGTGACTTTGGACATCTAAAGCCTACAGGCTTTCTAGCTATAACGTCACCTGTCGCTTCCCCTACTCTATTAATGTTTGTCTTAAGCAGACTTGCTTTCAGTGAAATCTGCTTTCTGTGCATGCGCTTGAAACCACTCCAACACATTTGCTCCTGCAAGCAAAGGAGAGTCCGGCCTGATCAGTGCTTGGAATGGAGATCTCCGAGAAGCATCTAGGTGGTGCCAGAGGTGGTGTTGGTAATGGAGAAGGTTCTCTCAAAAGGGG